GGTAGTGGCATGGCTCCTGGACACCAACATGGCCACAGGTTGCAGCCCCTATCCCAGGCTTCTGTGCAACCTTTGGTGGTGACAGAGACCCTGGTTGTGCTGGGACCATAAACTCAGACATGGCATTCAGCAGCAGCCAGGTTGGATGTCACCATGGCCCCAGATGGTGGCACAGGTCACCCAGACCATCATGACCCCAGTGGCAGCATGACCATCAGATAACAACATGGCCCCAGGTGTTGGCTCAGACGCCAGGATTCTACATGTCCTCGTGGTGAAAGGATCCATGGACATCTACAGAGATTCAGAATGCAGTAGGGCCACAGAACCAGACATGGCTCCCAGTAGCGGCACTGGCCCAGGCATCACCATGGCACCAGATAACAGAATGTGCCCCTTTGGTCTGTATGGAACCATATGTAGCATGTCCCTTGAGCAACAACATGGTCCCATGTGGCTGATCAGACCTCAACAATCATACAGTACAGTCCTCAGTTGCAACAGGAGCCACAGACATTTACTGCTGTAGGGTCAGGGACCCAGGCATGGCTCCTACCTGTATCCCTGGTCCAGACATCACCACGGCAACAGATAACAGAATATGCCACTTTGGGCTATATGGACCCAGATGTGGCATGGACCTTGGGAAAAAACATACTCACAGGTTGGTCGGTCAGAACCCAGAAACCACACAGTCCTTGGTTGCAATACTAGCCAAAGACATTGGCCCAGATGCTGATTGTTATAGGGCCTTGGACCCAGACATGGCCATCTGTAGCATCTCAGGCCTAGATGACACTATGGCCCTGGATGGCAGCACAGGTGACACAGATCAGTGTGGCTCTGGTGGTGGCACAACTCCTAGACACTCACATGGCCACTGGTGGCGGCCCAGACACTGGACAACTCCATGGATCCTTTTAGCAATGGGTCCATGGATGACTATACAGCACCTGGCTGTGGTAGAACCATGGAGCCAGACATGGCCCCTGGCAGTATTCTAGCCCAGATGCCACCATGTCTCTGATTGGCAAGAAGGACTCCCACATCAGCCTACTCCTCACCACATTAACCTGTTCCATGCCACCTCATTTCAGAGCATATAGACCATTCCTCTTCCCTTCTCTCCCATTTCTCAACCACACTCTTGCTTGTCATAATGGGACCCATCAGGCTGGCCTATGGATGGCTTGCATACACCTGAGCTAGACAGCATCAGATGGGCCATGGAAGTCTTCCTGCCAATCCAGGTCTTGAGGACCAAGTCTGGCATGTGGGTGGCTTGCACAAACCTGAGCCAAACATCATCACTTGGGCTGTGGATTGTTGACCATTTCTAATTCTGTTCTATTGTGAACTAACATTGTACAATACAATGCAATTCCTTTATGCTCATGAAGACTGCTTTATTACCTAAAATATGACATAATATAGAAAAATTCTGGCGGTTACTGACAAGGATATGCATTCGATAGCTCTTGGGTGAACTGTCATGGATTATGTTTTAGTGAAGATTGTATTGCTGTGAAGAGACCCCATAACCATGGCAATTTTTATAAAGGAAAACATTGAATTGGGCTGGCTTATAGGTTCAAAGATTTTGTCCCTTATCCTCGTGATAGGAAGCATGGTGACATGCAGGCAGACATGGTGCTAGAGAGGAATCTGGGAGTTCTACATTTGGATCCACAGGAAGCAGAAAAGACTGAGGCACACTGTCTCAACAACACCACACCTACTTCAGGAAGGCCACATCTCCTAATAGTGCCATACCCTATGAATCTATGGGGTCATTTTCATTCAAATCACCACATTCCACTTCCCATAGACTTATATCTTTATCATAATGCAAAAAATGAGTTTAGTCAAACTTCAAAATTCCCTGTAGTCTGTAATAATCTCAAATTTGTTTTAAAGTCCCAAATCTCTTCCAAGACTCATGCCAATTTCTTAACTGAAACTCCTCTACAATCAAAATGAAAAATGAGATTACATGCTTCCAACATATAATGGCACATGATATACATTACCATTCCAAAATGGAGGAAAGGGAGCATGGTGAGGAAAAACTGGACCAAAGCAAGATGCAAAACAATCTGGGCAAACTCTAAACACTTCATCTCAAAAGCCAATGTCAAAACACTGTTTAGATCTCCAACTCTGTTCAGCTTTGTGACTGCAACACACTTCTTTCTCTTGGGCTGATTCAACTCCCTGTTAGCAGCTTTCCTCAACAGGTCTCCTACAGCTATGGCATCTCCAACATCTTGGGATCTCCATGGCAATCTAGGCTTCACATTCACAGCTTCACATAATTGCCTCACTAGGCCTCCATTCAGGGACAAGCCTGAGACATGCCTGGCCTCTGAAACTTCCTCGTGTTGCAGAGGGAGATTCCATAACCTTCTATCCTTGCCTCTAAAGCTGGAACCACATGGCCAAAGCTGACAAGTTGCACTGCTTGCTGGCACAGTAACCTGGCCCCCTCATTCATTATATCTTACCACCTTTCTGTTTTTGATAGTTTCCTTTACTGCCTAAGCTTGTCTGTCCTGAATCTCAGTATGTAGACAAGCCTGGCCTTGAACTTGGAGATCCTCTTGAATGTCTCATGAGTGCTGAGATGAAAGGAATGTACAACTATGCCAGGATCTAAGCTATTCTTTCATACTTTTTCACAAGTTGAAAGCTTAGCTGAGCAGAGTTATATCCTAAGGTTAGTATACCCCTTATTCTTTTTAATATCAGGCTTTTTGTTAATCTGCTTATATCCTTGAACACAGGACTTAGCTCCATTCCACTTCTTGGTGTTCTTGGTGTCACTTTTCTCAAATT